TCTCATACAATATTTGTCCTTTTGTGATTGACTTATTTCACTCAGCATAATGTCCTCCAGTTTCATCCATGTTATGAGATGGTTCACAGATTCATGCTTTTTAACATTTTAAAGAGGTCATTTGCAGCAGATTTGCCCAATGCAATATGTCCTTTGATTTCTTGATGGCTGCTTCCGTAGGCATTGATTGTGGATCTAAGTAAAATGAAATCCTTGGCAACTTCAGTCTTTTCTCTGTTAATCATGGTACTGCTTATTGGTCCAGTTGTGAGGATTTTTGTTTTCTTTATGTTGAGGTGTAATCCATACGGAAGGCTGTAGTCTTTGATCTTCATCAGTAAGTGCTTCAAGTCCTCTTCACGCTATGATTTACATCATAGAAGTTAGGATTTACAACACAGAATAATCACGTCAGATCACAAAATGGTGGACAACCACACAATACTGGGAATCATGGCCTAGCCAAGTTGATATACATTTTTGGGGCATACAATTCAATCCAAAACATTTCCCCCTGAAGTTAGACAGGTTCTGAAGCCTCTACTACTACTACCCTTTTACACTTTTCCTTCCTCTGTTGCTCCTGGAGTTGTTGTTGTTAGGTGCTATTGAGGCGGTTCCGACTCATAGCGACCCCACGTACAACAGAATGAAACACTGCCTGGTCCTGCGCCATCCTCACAATCACTGCTATGTTTGAGCCCATTACTGCAGCCACTGTATCAACCCATCTTGTTGAGGGTCTTTCTCTTTTTTGCTTGAGCCTTCCTCCAATCCTGATACCGAGTTCTTCTTCATATAGTCTAGCGTCTCAGAGTATTTGCTCAGCATACAGATTGAATAAGTATAGTGAAATGATACAACTTTGACACACACCTTTCCTGACTCTAAACCACAAAGCATCCCCTTGTTCTGTTCGAATGACTGCCTCTTGGTCTATGTACAGGTTCCTCAAGAGCACAGTTAAGTGTTCCAGAATTTCCACTCTTTGCAATGTTATCCATAATTTATTATGATCTACATAGTCGAATGCCTTTGCATTAGTTGTGATGGTTAAGATTGTTTGTCAACTTGGCTGGCCATGAGTCTCAGTGTTTTGGCAGTTGTATAATGTTGTGATCATTTCCCTGTTGAAATTTGATATGCGATCACCCCCCTGATGGAATCTGCTGAGTGGTACCGGTAGAGGCGGGGCCTGTGGTGGCTCACCGCCCCCTCAGCTTCATCTCTCCGCCTTTTGCCAGCTACTTCCTTCCTGCTCACCTTGCCAAGGTTTTTGGCTTGTTCTGGACCCAGCAGCTGCCTCTTGTCATCTTGCCTCTGGTTCTTGGGACTTGAGCTAGCAGCTTACTTGTTGATCTTGGAATTCGTCAACCTTCACAGCCTGTGAGCCGGAGCCCTGCTCTCCAACCTGCCGACCTTGGGTTTGCCAGCTTCTGCATCTGCATGAGTTGGGAGAGGCCTCTACTCTGATCCACGGACTTGGGATGTTCTAGCCTCTACAAACGTGTGAGCTGTTTCCTTGATATAAATCTCTCTATATATATATTTATACACTTTACTGGTTTTGCTTCTCTAGAGAACCAAGCCTAAGACAATAGTCAATAAAACACAGGTAAAGATCTTTCTGGTATTCTCTGCTTTCAGCCATGATCCATCTGACATCAGCAGTGATATCCCTCATTCTACCTCCTCTTCTGAATCTGGCTTGAATTTCTGGCAGTCCCCTGTCGATGTACTGCTTTAACCATTTTTTAGTTATCTTCAGCAAAATTTTACTTGTGTGTAATCTTAATGAAATTGTTCGATAATTTCTGCATTCTGTTGAATCACCTTTGTTTGGAATGGGCACAAATATGGATCTCTTCCAGTAGGTTGGCCATGTAGCTGTCTTCCAAATTTGTTGGCATAGATGAGCTAGCACTTCCAGCGCTGCACCTGTTTGTTGAAACATCTCAATTGATATTCCGTCAATTCCTGGAGCCTTGCTTTTCACCAATGCCTTCAGTGCAGCTTGGACCTCTTCCTTCAGCACCATCAGTCCTTGATCACATGCTCCAGGTGAATATAGACCAATTGTTGTACCTCGGCTGGCCGCTTGTAAGCTTTTAAGACCCCACTGTCTAGATCTTTTTTCCCAGCTCTTCCCATGGCTCCCTCCCTCACTTCAGTTTTCTGCTCAAATGTCCCCTCCTTTGGGCGGATCTTCCTTGACCATCCCAAATAATGCTGCCCTGTCAGTCACAGCTCCTGCTTGCCTTCCTTCATAGTACTTAACACTTAGAAATGATTTTGTTTAATATATAGTTTATTTATTTAGTTTGCTTATTGACTGTGTTCTCCCTCCCAGCTAGAAGGTAACCTCTGTAAAGTCAAGGGTTTTTCTTGGTCACTGCCATATCCCCAGTGCCTAAGATGGCACCTGGCACACAGTAGGTTCTCAAGAAATAAAAGAAACTTGTGTATCATGGTAAAGAGGGCAGGCCCTGGAGTCAGACTGTCCAGCGTATATCCTGGGTCTACTACTTTCTAACTATGTGACCTTGGGCAGGGTTCTTGAAGCACCTGGGCCTCAGTTTCCTCATCTGTGAAATGGGTTGGCCATCAACATCATAGCATCATCATGAAGGTTAAATGGGTTCATGTGTCTTGAGTATTAAGCACAGGACCTGGCACACAATAAAAACTAAAAACTGAACCCGTTGCTGCCAAGGTGGCTCCGACTTATAGCGACCCTGTGTGTTACAGAGTAGAACTGTTCCATCGGGCTTCCTTGGCTGGAATCTTCACAGAAGCAGATCGCCCGGCCTTTCTTCTGCAGCACTGCTGTATGGGTTCAAACCACCCATGTTCATGAGAGCAGCTGAGCGTGAACTGCTTGTGCCACCCAAGCACCTTTGGCACACAGTACACCCAGTAGGTGCTCAGTAAATATCAACTCATCATTTGTTGACACAAGAGCTACCTAGATAACACAGGAAAGCCCAGCCCACTAGAGTTAGGAGACATGAATTTGAGCCTTGGCTTTGTCCCCGAGTCCCTGAGTGAACTTGGGTGGTCCCTTCTTCTCTCTGGGCCACATTTCCCCAGCTGTCCACTGAGGAGGTGTGTCTGAGTTTCCTCGTGCTGCTGTAACAGAAATATCATAAGGGGGTGGCTTTAACAAACAGAAATTTATTTCCTCACAGTTTAGGAGGCTAGAAATCTGAATTCAGGGCACTGGCTCCAGGGGAAGGCTTTGTCTCTGTCGGCTCTGGGGGAAGGTCCTTGTCTCTTCAGCTCCTGTCCTTGGTTCCTTGGTGATCTTCATGTGGCGTGGCGTCTGTATTCCCTCATCTGGGCTTGCTTGCTTCTGTGCCTAATCTGCTCTTTTTATATCCAAAAAGTGATTGGTTTAAAACATCCTATGGTGATATGGCCTTATTAGCATAACAAAGAAAGCCCTATTCCCAGATGGGATTACAGGTGTGTGGTTGGGTGTAAAGTTGATTCCAACTCATAGTGACTCCATGTGACAGAGTAGAACTGCTTCATTGAGTTTCCTAAGTAGAAATCTTTTTTTTTTTTTTAAACAAGATAATACATGTTCATTGCCTTGAAAAATACACTTAGGCATAAGAAGAAAACAGAAATTATCTATAATTCCACTATTCAGAAATAACATTTTTCATATTTTTGTGAGGCTGTGATCTCCAGGTCTTCCTCTGCAGAGCTGCTGGGTGGGTTCGAACTGCCGACCTTTCACTTAACAGCCGAGCGCTTATCCACGGCACCACCAGGGCGCCTCTCTACAGGTATATGGGATAGGATTTACAACACGTGTTTTTAGGGGACACAGTCCAATCCCTAACAGAGTGAGACACGGTCACGTCAGACTCCCAGGCAGTGTGGGTCGTCAGTGGGTTTTCTTTCTACTCCCCGGCGTGGCCTGGGTAGAAAGGGATCGCCGGACAGGGCAGTGGAGTGTGTGAGAGCCCAAAGGCATCACCCTCTGCAGACACATTCCTCCCCTCAACAGTGTCTTCTGTCTCCACGAGTTTAATTATCGCGGCATGAACAAGGGGACCTTGGAGGGGGAAAGGCGGGAAGAGAAACGCAGCAGCCCGACCCTTGGCAGCGTGTCTGTTTGTCCGTTTCATTTCCAGCCAGACGTCTGGCCTGGTGGGGGCCAGGCTGGGAGAAATCCAGTGGGCAGAAAAGTCTTGGGGAGCTCAGAGCAGGAGAAGGTGAGAGTCTGCTACCACCACCACCAACAGCCATGTATGTGCTGGGCCCTGTGCCGGGGCCTGGGAACGGACAGTGGGGACAGACAGCGTCTTCGAGGAGCCCATAGTCTGATGGCGGAGGCAGACAGCAAACAAGGAGGTGAGGCGCTATGGTGGAGAAAAAGCACAGGAAGGAGATAGAGAGAGGTCATGGCTTTGGATTAGGTCATTGGAAAATCTGGACATCGGACGGGGTGCAGGAGCTGACCAGGTAAGGAATAGGGGGAAATGGTCCCAGGCAGACTGAAGAGCTCGTGCAAAGGCCCTGAGGCATACCTATGCGTACCTGGGGGAAGAGTGGTCCAGGCAGTGGGAACAGCCCGTGCAAAGGCCCTGGGGCAGGACTGTGCCTGGTGAGTTGGAGGGATAGCTATGAGGCCCGTGTGGCTGGAGCTGAGTGAGGAGGGGGAGAGAGGAGGAGGGGAGGGCATGGAGGAAATGGAAACTGACTATGCAAGGGAAGTGGAGAGGGCTTCTTGGAGGAGGTGACATTTGAGCAGAGACTTGGATGCTGAGGAGCCAGCTATGGGGAGATCTGGGGAGAACAGCATTCCAGACAGAGGGAACAGCCTGTGCAAAAGCCCTGCAACAGGACTGTGCCTGGTGAGTCGGAGGGACAGCAAGGAGGCCTGCATGGCTGGAGAAGAGTGAGCGAGGGGGAGAGAGGAGGAGCGGAGGGCAGGGAGGGAAGAGAGGAGGCCAGGAATTTGGTTTTAAGAATTGGCCTCATGGAGGATGCAACCTGAACAAGCCCAGGTACCTTGGGGGTCTCAGCTGGGGGTAACGTTGGGTCACTGGGAGGCTCTGGATGCTGGAGAATCCAGCCCACACCATGACCTTGCTGGGCCCAGGAGCCTACAAGAAATTCTTCCACAGGCTGCCCAGTCCCCAGGTCAGGACCCAGGAGTTCTTTCTCGGCCCCTGGCCCAGGCAGCAGGAGACTCCAAGGGGACAGCAGGCAACCGGACGATGTCACAGAGGCTAAAAGCATCTAGAACCCTCGGGGGTTCCTGGCCCCGAGTCATCTGCAGGCAAGGTGGCCTGAGTCAGCTCCTCCTGAGACGGGCCTTCCAAGACACAATGCACCCTGGGGTGCCACCAGGAGCCGTCTCTGCATAGGGCCGCCCCACTCCCAGCCCCTCGGCTCGCCTGCCTCTGAACGCCCGTTCCAGCTCATCTCCATTAGCAATCCAGCCACGGTCCCCCAGGGCGGCCCTGGAGATGCCCGAGGGCCTCCTTTCTGTTGTCCCCAGTGGGACCTAGCTCGACACAGCCACAGGGGCTGGCCATGGGGAGACAGTGGCCAGGCCCGGCCCTGGCGGTCATCAAGACCTCACTGATCCTGCTGGTACTGCTAGCTCCCTCGCAGGCCGTGGTGCGCGCCATACTGGACGGTAACTCCAGCACCGTGGACTTTGCCGATCTGCCCGCCCTCTTTGGGGTCCCCCTGGCCCCCGAGGGTCTCCGGGGCTACCTGATGGAGGCCAAGCCGGCCAACGCGTGCCAGCCTATTGAGAGGCCGAGGCTGGGCAACAGCTCACTGGGCGCCATCGTCCTGATCCGCCGCTATGACTGCACGTTCGACCTGAAGGTGCTGCACGCCCAGCGGGCCGGCTTCGAGGCGGCCATTGTACACAATGTCCGCTCCGATGACCTGGTGCGCATGGCCCATGTGTACGAGGACCTGCGGCGCCAGATCGCCATTCCCTCGGTGTTCGTGGGCGAGGCCGCCTCTCAGGACCTGCGGGTCATCGTGCGCTGCGACAAGTCGGCCCACGTGCTTCTCCTGCCCGACCACCCGCAGTGCTCTGACCTGAACTGCCATCCCGTGCTGGCCGTGTCCTGGGTGCTGGGCCGTGCCTTGGCCCTGCTCACCTCCGCCTTCCTCGTCCTGCGCCGCGTGTGGCACTGGCTGTGGGCCTGGTGGCGCCGCGGGCCCGCAGTCAAGGCGCCCACCCGGCAGAAGGCCCAGGTGCGCACCTTCACCCGGCACAACGACCTGTGTGCCATCTGTCTGGACGAGTATGAGGAGGGTGACCAGCTCAAGATCCTGCCCTGCTCCCACACGTATCACTGCAAATGCATTGACCCCTGGTTCGCCCAGGCTGCCCGGCGCACCTGCCCGCTGTGTAAACAGTCGGTGGCCAGCACCGAGGACGGCTCCGAGTCCACCGTCGAGAGCTTCGGCGACGAGGATGCCGCCCTTCCCGGCCACCAGCCGCCCATCTGGGCCATCCAGGCCCGGCTGCGCTCCCGGAGGCTGGAGCTACTGGCCCGAGCCAGCCCGCACCGCCACTGCAGCGCTGGGCCTGTGGGGGTGTCCTCAGAGAGGGCCGCCCCGCCCCGCTGAGGCCTGCGGAAGGCGCCGGGCAGGAGCGTGTGCACACGCAGAATGTTTCTAGTCTGGAGGGAATAAAGTGGATTGGAAAGTGGATTCTCACCCTCGCTGCTGTTTGACTGCTAGGCCTTTAAGGAGGGGAACCCATCTGGTGCCGGAAGCCAGCTGAGCATAACGCTGGCGCCCAGTGTCTGCAGGTCGGTGAGGAGATGGGGGCTGCGGGATATTTTCAGGGCTGCTGTGGCCACTGGGGAGCCCTGGTGGCGCAGTGGTTAAGAACTCGGCTGCTAACCAAAAGATCGGCAGTTTGAATCCACCAGCCGCTCCTTGGAAACCCTGTGGGGCAGTTCTACTCTGTCCTATAGGGTTACTATGAGTCAGAATCGACTCAACGGGTTTTGTTTTGTTTTGGGGTATCTGAGGCCTTGATCGCCAAGCTAAGGGTCTGTGTATTCACGAATTCACTCATTTCTTTTTTCAGCAAACACCGCCTGGTGCCCCCCAAGGCTGGCCCTGAGCTGGACAAGGCCAGGGCCCCCAGGGTGTCTGTGGATGTGGAATCAACCTGCCTTTTCCTCATCAGGGCTGTCGTCTGTGGGAATTGGGCTGTCCAGGGCTGGTGTCTTAGTTCTCTAGTGCTGCTATAATACAAATATCACAAGGGGGTGGCTTTAACAAACAGAAATTTATTCTCTTGAAGATAGGAGGCTAGAAGTCCTAATTCAGAGCGTCGGCTCCAGGGGAAGGATTTCTCTCTATGTGAGGACTGGAGGAAGGTCCTTGTCTCTTCAGCTTCTTCTTCCTGGTTCCTTGGAGATCTCTTGGCATCTATCCTACCCCATTTCTGCCTCTCTCACTTGTTTGATCTCTATCTCAAAAGAGATTGACTCAAAATACATCCTACACTAATCCCGCTTATTAACATAACAAAGACAAGCCATTCTCAAATGGTATTATAACCACAGGCTTGTTGTTATTGTTAGGTGACATCAAGTTCAGTCCCCACTCACAGCAAACCTATGTACAACAGAACCAAACACCACCCAGTCCTGCGCCATTCTCACATTGTTGCAGCCACTGTGTCGATCCATCTCATTGAGGGTCTTCCTCTTTTTCGCTAACCCTCTACTTTACCAAGCTTGATGTCCTTCTCCAGGGACTGGTCCCTCCTGAAAACATGTCCAGAGTATGTGACAAAGTCTCGCCATCCTCACTTCCAAGGTGCACTCTGGTTGTATTTCTCCCAAGACAGATTTGTTCATTCTTTTGGCAGTCCATGGTATAGTCAATATTCTTCGCCAACACCACAATTCAAAGGTGTCAATTCTTCTTCGGTCTTCCTTATTCATTGCCCAGCTTTCACATGTATATGAGGCGATTGAAAACACCATGGCTTGGGTCAGGTGTACTTTAGTCTCTAAAGTGACATCTTTGCTGTTTAACACTTTAAAGAGGTCTTTTGCAGCAGACTTGCCCGATGTAATGCGTCTTTTGATTTCATAATTGCTGTTTCCATGGGCATTGATTGTAGATCCAAGTAAAATGAAATCCTTGACAACTTCAATCTTTTCTGCATTGATCATGATGTTGCTTATTGGTCCAGTTGTGAGGATGTTTGTTTTCTTTATGTTGAGGTGTAATCCATACTGAAGGCTGTGGTCTTTGATCTTCATCAGTAAGTGCTTCAAGTCCTTTTCACTTTCAGCAAGCAAGGTTGTGTCATCTGCATAACGCAGGTTGTTAATGAGACTTCCTCCAATCCTGATGCCCCGTTCTTCTTCGTAAGTCCAGCTTCTTGGATTATTTGCTCAGCATACAGATTGAATAGGTATGGTGAAAGGATACAACCCTGACGAACGCCTTTCCAGACTTTAAAACATGCAATATCCCCTTGTTCTGTTCAAACAACTGCCTCTTGATCTACGTACAGGTTCCTCATGAGCACAATTAGGTGTTCTGGAATTCCCGTTCTTCGCAATGTTCCCCATAATTTGTTATCATCCGCACAATAAAATGCCTTTGCATAGTCAATAAAACACAGGTAAACATCTTTCTGGTAGTCTCTGCTTTCAGCCAAGGTCCATCTGACATCAGCAATAATATCCCTTGTTCCATGTCCTCTTCTGAATCCAACTAGAATTTCTGACAGTTCCCTGTTGATGTACTGCCACAGCTGCTCTTGAATGATCTTCAGCACAATTTTACTTACTTGTGATATTAATGATACTGTTTGATAATTCCCACATTAGTTTGGATCACCTTTCTTGGAAATAGGCATAAATATGGATCTTTTCTAGTCCGTTGGCCAGGTAGCTGTCTTCCAAATTTCTTGGCATAGACGAGTGAGCACTTCCAGCGCTGCATCCGTTTGTTGAAACAACTCAGTTGGTATTCCATCAGTTCCTGGAGTCTTATTTTTCGCCAATGCCTTCAGTGCAGCTTGGACTTCTTCCTTCAGTACCATTGGTGGTCTTGATCATATGCTACCTCCTGAAATGGTTGAACATTGACAAATTCTTTTTGGTACAGTGACTCTGTGTATTCCTTCCATCTTCTTTTCATGCTTCCTGTGTCATTTGGAATTTTCCCCATAGAATCCTTTAATATTGCAATTCGAGGGTTGAATTTTTTCTTCAGTTCTTTCAGCTTGAGAAATGCTGAGCATGTTCTTCCCTTTTGGTTTTCTATCCCCAGGTCTTCGCACATGTCATTCTAGTACTTTGCTTTGTCTTCTCGAGCAGCCCTTTGGAATCTTCTGTTCAGCTCTTACTTCATCATTTCTTCCATTTGCTTTAGCTACTTGATGTTCAAGAGTAAGTTGCAGAGTCTCTTCTGACATCCATTTTGGTCTTTTCTTTCTTTCTTTCCTGTCTTTTTAATGACCTCTTGCTTTCTTCATGTATGATGTCCTTGATGTCATTCCACAACTGGTCTGGTCTTTGGTCATTAGTGTTCAACGCATCACATCTATTCTTGAGATGGTCTCTAAATTCAGGTGACATATACTCAAGGTCATACTTTGGCTCTCGTGGACTTGTTCTAATTTTATTCAGTTTCAGCCTGAACTTGCATATGAGCAATTGATGGTCCGTTCCACAGTCGGCCCCTGGCCTTGTTCTGACTGATGATATTGAGCTTCTCCATCATCTCTTTCCACAGATGTAGTCGATTTGATTCCTGTGTACTCCACTGGTGAGGTCCACATGTCTACTCACCTTTTATGTTGTTGGAAAAAGGTATTTGCAATGAAGGAGTCGTTCGTCTTGCAAAGTTCTGTCATGCGATCTCCAGCATCGTTTCTATCACCAAGGCCATATTTTCCAACTACTGATCCTTCTTCTTTGTTTCCAACTTTCACATTCCAATCACCAACAATTATCAATGCATCCTGATTGCATGTTTGATCAATTTCAGACTGCAGAAGTTGGTAAAAATCTTCAAATTCCTCATCTTTGACCTTAGTGGTTGGTGTGTAAATTTGAATGGTAGTAGTATTAACTGCTCTTCCTTGTAGGCATATGGATATTATCCTATCATTCACGGCGTTGTACTTCAGGATAGATCTTGAAATGTTCTTTTTGATGATGAATGCAACGCCATTCCTCTTCAAGTTGTCATTCCCAGCTTTCTACACCATATGATTTTCCAATTCAAAATGGCCAATACCAGTCCATTTCAGCTCACTAATGCCTAGGATATCAATGTTTATGCATTCCATTTCATTTTTGATCATTTCCAATTTTCCTAGATTCATACTTTGTACATTCCACGTTCCAATTATTAATGGATGTTTGTAGCTGTTTTTTCTCATTTTGAGTCGTGCCACATCAGCAAATGAAGGTCCTGAAAGCTTTACTCCATCCATGTCATTAAGGTCAACTCTACTTTGAGGAGGCAGCTCTTCCCCAGTCATCTTTTGAGTGCCTTCAAACCCAAGGGGCTCATCTTCCAGCACTATATCAGATAATATTCCACTGCTATTCATAAGATTTTCAATGGCTAATTCTTTTCAGAGGTAGACTGCCGGGGGTTTTTTCCTAGTCTGTTTTAGTCTGGAAGCTCAGCTGAAACTTGTCAGCCATGGGTGACTGTCTTAGTCATCTAGTGCTGCTGTAACAGAAATACCACAAGTGGATGGCTGTAACAAACAGAAGTTTATTCTCTCAGTCTAGTAGGCTAGAAGCTCGAATTCAGGGCACCAGCTCCAGGGGAAGGCTTTCTCTGTTGGCTCAAGAGGAAGGTCCTTGTCAGCAATCTCCCCCTGGACTAGAAGCTTCTCTGCACAGGAACCCCAGGTTAAAAGGACAAACTCTGCTCTCGGTGTTGCTTTCTTGGTGGTATGAGGTCTCCCGTCTCTCTGCTCACTTCTCTCTTTTATATCTCAAAAGAGATTGGCTCAAGACACAATCCAGTTTTGTAGATTGAGTCCTGCCTCACTAACACAATTGCTTCTTATCCCACCTCATTAACATCATAGAGGTAGGATTTACAACACATAGAAAATCACATCGGATGACACAATGGTGGACAATCACAATACTGGGAATCATGGCCTAGCAAAATTGATACACATATTTTTTGGGGACACAATTCAATCCATGACAGTGACCCTGCTGGTATTTGAATACTGGTGGCATAGCTTCCAGCATCACAGCAACACCCGAGCTGCCACAGTATGACAAACTGACAGATGCACAGGGGACACCGTAATTAAAAGGCATCATTTCTTCTTCAGTCTTCCTTCTTCCTTGTCCAGCTTTCACATGCATATGAGATGATTGAAAATACCATGGCTTGGGTCAGGCGCACCTTAGTCCTCAAAGTGATACCTTTTCTCTGTTCATCATGATGTTGCTTATTGGTCCAGTTGTAAGGATTTTCGTCTTCTTTATGTTGAGGTATAAGCCATACTGAACCACAAGCATAGAAGTTAGGATTTACAACATGTATTTTTAGGGGACACAATTCAATCCATAACAGCTGGTTCTTGTTCCTTTCCTGTTGGATCAGAC